GTGATACCCCCAACCTGGTTCCATAAAATAAGTGGTCACTGTTGATACCCCCCAGCCTGGTTCCATAAAATCAGTGGTCACTGGTGATACCCCACCAGGTTCCATAAAATCAGTGGCCACTGGTGATACCCCCAACCTGGTTCCATAAAATAAGTGGTCACTGTTGATACCCCCCAGCCTGGTTCCATAAAATCAGTGGTCACTGGTGATACCCCCAACCTGGTTCCATAAAATAAGTGGTCACTGTTGATACCCCCCAGCCTGGTTCCATAAAATCAGTGGTCACTGGTCATACCCTGAGCCTGGTTCTATAAAATCAGTGGTCACTGGTGATACCCCCAACCTGGTTCCATATAATCAGTGGTCACTGGAGATACCCCCAGCCTGGTTCCATAAAATCAGTGGTCACTGGTGATACCCCACCTGGTTCCATAAAATCAGTGGTCACTGGTGATACCCCCACCTGGTTCCATAAAATCAATGGTCACTGTTGATACCCCCAGCCTGGTTCCATAAAATCAGTGGTCACTGGTGATACCCCACCAGGTTCCATAAAATCAGTGGCCACTGGTGATACCCCCAACCTGGCCACTGATTTTATGGAAATGTAACTGTAACCACTGATTTTATGGAACCAGGTGGGGTATCAACAGTGATGACTGATTTTATGGAACCAGGTTGATGTTATCAAAAGTGGCCACTGATTTTATTGAACCAGGTTGGGGGTATCAACAGTGAGCACTGATTACATGGAACCAGGTTGGGGGGTATCACCAGTAACTAAATTGACCTATGAACTGTGTGTTTATTACAAGGTTGTTTCTGTAAGCTAGAAATATTCTAAATTGACCTATGAACTGTGTGTTTATTACAAGGTCGTTTCTGTAAGCTAGAAATATAATATTTCTAGCTTACAGAAACAACCTTGTAATAAACACACAGTTCATAAACCATTTTAAAACATTTCTAGCTTACAGAAACAACCTTGTAATAAAAAAGAAATGTAAACAACATATTTCAATATTTAAAACATTTGTTCTATCAGAACCTGGAAATATTCAAATAAGAATAAATTTGTCTTTTAAAAAAACTTTTAAAAGCTTTCTTGCAGAAGAAAATTAGATTAAAAACTTGTTTTCTGTTTTGGGGTTGACATAGCTTTTAATGTTTACTTCAGCTTTATTTTAATAATGTGCTAACCCCAGACACAATATTGATATTATAAATAAAACTTTTTTACTACTTTATGGAAGACATTCTGTTAATAACATTACTACAACCAAAGGTAAACATTCTGACTACACTTAGTTAGTTAGTGTCCATATTTTCTTGGCTGGCTGGTTGATGGTTCTCCACTGTTTTATCTGTGGAAGCTTCTGGTTCACGTCCTTCACCTGCACAGGTTTTCCCTTCTGATGGTGGATCAACTTTAGGCTTTGGTATGTTGAGGATAGTTGTCACTTTATTATCAAAAGTCTGGAACAAATCGTAACAATTAGCCATGTCCACATTCATTAAGTTTCTTATCCAACAATAACCAAGAAATACAATAATACAATACATCTATTTCCACTGAATCACAGGCAAGATACTTATATCTTGAGATTTTCTACCCAATATGATGATGTGACAAAGGGTTTGTGAGCATAAACCAATTATTTGAATGATAAAATTCTAAACATACCTTTAGATCATGGTAAATTTGAGATGCCAAGATTGGTGGGTTCTGATGTGGTGGTATTTGAGACAAGACACTCATCTGATGATCTAGCCACTGTTGTTTCTGCTCCACAGTGTTCTTAACCTGGCAACATGAACTAAACAATGTAGAGGTTATGTACTTCACAACACACATTCATAAGTTGTTTTTGTCAATTTATAGAAACAAAACTAATCCACCCTCAATATGATCGTAGAGACTAAAAGATGGTTTTACAAGAGTTTGTTCAAACCTAATTGACATTTCTAGTGGACAAATTATTGGTGCTCAACAAAATTTATTAAAACTTCCAAATAAACCAGTTTTAAAACAAATCTATTATTATTATCTTAAATACACTATGAAACCTATTACTAAAAAATAATATTTTATGCATTAAATACTTTATCTTGTTTTTTTCCAATGTTTTGATAATTTGTAGTATATTAAACAAAGTATGACAGTCTAAATTAAAAACGATAAAACATCTTTTATAATTTGTATTAGCTCAATGTTCTCATTCTATACAAACATTACTGATTTAAACACATTCTTCCAGATGAACCAATCACTCCCGACAAATAATTATACTTTACTTTCTCCATTTCTTGTGCTGCGATGTGAGCATACTGTTTGTCATTGGCTGCATACTGGTCTACAATGTTCCTTGTCGATTGCAATGACCGAAAGTACTGATCAATCACGGAAGAACGTTCTTCAAACTCGTGACACCTGTCAATAACAGGATGGCAGTGTTTCTGTAAAAATATTACTAATGATTTGTTACTGAAACAATTAGATTTACACAAGCTACCGTAAAGCTCACTACACTGAAAAGTCACAAATTAGAGCCCTTTTGAAAAGACATTTTGTCTACAGATACCAAACACACCTTCATTTAAACTATTAATTGCTATTATTTTCCTGTGTTAAACAATAGTACTGAGTAATAAAAACATTGGAAGAATATTATACATTGATGCCTTATTTTAATTCACATGAAAAATCCTTGGCACCAGAAACTATGTGATGTTCGTAATAGAACAAATACCACAGATTTGAAAAAAAAAAGAATTGAAATACTGCTACCCCAAGCAAGTGATACATAATTAATTATATCTAAACAAATAGTTTCAAAATATCCATTTTTACCTTCAACTTTTCATGCAATAATTTGTTCCTTACCTTTAGTTCTGTCAGTTTTTCAACATATACTTTCTTAGGCCGTTTTGCACCCTCATCGTAAAGCCAGTTTTCTGTCTCTTCTAGCAGCTTTATTAACACAATTCTATCCTAAGGTGTTAGAAAAAATAAATCCAGTCTGCTGTTTCTTTCTAACTTTTCCTATCAATAACTTGATTAAGACACACAATGGCATAATAGAAAATAAATTCCTTACTTATCCTAACAGTTCATATCTGAGAAGTTTAACCCTGTAACAGGTTGTAGTATGGTAAGCAAAGAAAAACACTTCCTATGTATTTCTTCACCTTCACTGGTGGAATGCACACCTGAGAAGGCTGTAGCTTGCAAGAAGGCAGTGAGGTAATTATGACCTTAGGTAATAATAACCTTGAGTTAGAAAAAAAACATTACTAATTACAAACACAAATAAATAGGATTTGAAATAATGAAAGAAGAAATGGTTCAAGCTGGCCATGACAGGCAAGTTTACACACAAAAGTTGCGAGTTACTACCAGGAGTCAAGCCAGAAGTTTCTACCAGGGGTCAAGCCAGAAGTTACTACCAGGAGTCAAGCCAGAAGATACTGCCAGGGGTCAAGCCAGAAGTTACTGCCAGGAGTGAAGCCAGAAGATACTACCAGAAGTCTAGCTAGAAGTTACTACCAGGAGTCTAGCCAGAAGTTACTGCCAGGAGTCAAGCCAGAAGATACTGCCAGGGGTCAAGCCAGAAGTTACTGCCAGGAGTGAAGCCAGAAGATACTGCCAGGGGTCAAGCCAGAAGTTACTGCCAGGGGT